CTGAGCCAAATTGGTTTCGGCGATTTTTCCTTTTATTTTTGATATACCTTTAACCTACTTGTCTTCCTAGGCAAAAAGATCAATAAGAAAAATACTCACTTGCAAATTTTGTGATGATATTCTGAAAATGCAGGTTGGTAACAGAGCATTCTGGGACTGACTGTATCATGGCATAAGTTTGTCCCCTGCCTTCCCAGCTCTCAGGTACCAGCTGTGGAACCTCACAAGTTACTAAATGTTTCTGTGCCTTAGTTTCCTCATTTGTTAACTGGGCATGATAATAATAGTGCCTGCCTTATAGGGTTCTTATGAGCCTTATACCTACGAGCTAATGTGTGTGAAACAGTATATAAGTTACAAGGTGTGTGACAAAGCATGATCCATAGTAAGCATCTGATAAAATATTATTTTGTGAATATTTTTTGTCTAAAATGTACCTATTTGAAAACAGAAGTGAGTTTGTTTCAATAAAAATCATATTTATAATAAAACAATTGGTATTTAAACATTAAAAGATTGGTAATGGCCGACACTGGTTTGGCTCAGTGGATAGAGTGTCAGCCTGCAGACTGAAAGGTCCCAGGTTCAATTCCGGTCAAGGTTACGTACCTTGGTTGCCGGCACATCCCCAGTAGGGGGTGTGCAAGAGGCAGCTGATCGATGTTTCTCTCTATCGATGTTTCTAACTCTCTATCCCTCTCTCTTCCTCTCTGTAAAAAATCAATAAAATATATTTAAAAGAAATAAATAAAAGATTGGTAATGTATTCATTAGGGAAGGCCTAAGTGACTGCAACAAATAGAACCCCCCAATTCAGTGGCTTGGTCCTGCAGGAGTAGAACTGGCAAGGCTGCTGAGTGTGGTCAGGGAGTGCGGTCAGGGAGTGTGGCCAAGGCACGGCAGGTAGTGGGCCTTCATCACTGTCACTCTTGTGGGTGGTTCGAGGTCCCGGTCATCTGCTTTTTTTCCCAGGTGCTCCATCCACTCAGGCCAGAACTTCCTGAGCAGCATCAGCATCAGCATCAGCCTCACACTGTCTGTGTGGCCCATGGCAGGCAGGGCCCAGTCTTTTGGCGCCTCTCTCTCTCTCTCTCTCTCTCTCTCTCTCTCTCTCTCTCTCTCTCTCTCTCTCTCTCTCTCTCTCTCTCTCTCTCTCTCTCTCTCTCTCTCTCATTGAAGTGGCTAGGTATGCTCCTTTAGGGCTTGAGAATTTATGCCGTAGGCAGAACCTATTCAATTTAGTTCCTTCATATCATTTCACCACTCATTTATACAAACTTGTTGGCCTTAGTCTAGAGTTTTCTTTCTTCTATCAAGGTATGCAAGCAATTATAGCGCTCACGAGCCTTGAGTGCCTTCTCATAACTGATTTCATAAACAGCTGGCAAAGAATAACTATTTAGCTCATTATGTTTTTGCACATATAACATATGCCAGGGAAGTTCTTAAATTTTTGGTGTCACTGACCACATTGGGAATCTGATGAAAGTTAGAGATCTTTTCCCCATAAAAATACCCATATGGCATATACAAAGGTTTTGTATCTGGTTGAGGAGTATTTATGGACATTTGATGTCTACTCTGGACACCTCTATGGAGAGGAGCTTGTTAGGGACATGAAACAGTGTTTTTGTTTGTTTGTTTGTTTGTGATATGTTTTTATTGATTTCAGAGAGGAAGGGAGAGTGAGAGATAGAAACATCAATGAGAGAGAATCATTGATCGGCTGCCTTCTGCATGATTGAGCCTACAACTTGGGCACGAGCCCTTGACTGGCATAGAACCAGAGACCCATCAGTCTGCAGGCCACATCCTTAGCCACTGAGCCAAACCAACTAGGGTGGAACAGTGTTTTTGAGAACAATTGAGGATCCAGCTAAAGTTAGACACCATTGACTGGTAATGTCCCCAAGATTTCAGATGACACAGTTTTCCCTGGGCACACTCTCTTGCCTGGGTGTATGGGTACAAGAAAGAAGATGGTGAGATTGTTTAGAGACCGGGATTGCAGTATTGGGGCAGTGAGAGACCATCTGTAAACGAGTGTGTATGTATTGTAGCTGTTCCTGGGAATGTGCTGGGAATAAATGAGTACCCAGAACTCCAGAGTAACCAGGGGAGGTAGAAAAGGAACTTAAGAGGGCATAAAAGGGCTTAGATACCTGGGAGGGAGGGAGAGAAGGATTGCTGGTGGCTGGAGAATATTTGGTTGGAAATGAGAAAGGGAGAGGTAAAAGCTAGGGAATGTGGTCACCGGAAGGGATTTTAGAGCAGAACTGCAGGAGTGGAGTATTTCTGTGTGGTGACAGGGCTTAGGGTGTGACCTTGTCGGGGGTGTCAGATGTCATTTATGAGCATAAAAGCTGTCCAGGATGCATGCAGAGGTGAGGGGAGAAGCCTGTAAGATGCAAGATAATCAGTTAATTTGGAAAAGGGACCTCTTTGATTTTAGAGAGAGAAAAGAAAGCTCTCTGAAGTTGAGTTTTGTCTGGAAACTTCATTAATCTGAGAACTTTCCTCCCCACTCTTTTTTTTTTTTTTTTTTTTTTTTTTTTTTTACTTTGCTTGCTGTCTCCTACTCCCCAAAAGGCACATGCTTGGGAATCAGACCTACCTGTTTAGAGCCATTTATTATTGGGGATCCTTGATCAGTGCCTCAGGCTTCCCAGTTTAGGTCCTGTGGCCTAGGGAATGTGCAAACATTATTTTTGCAGAACCTGCCATTAATTGTGCTAGCTTCCATCTGTAGAGTGGTTATGACAACTCCTAACTCAATGGGGTATTCAGTGAAATAAAGTGGAGACTGTGCCCGGCCCAGTACCTGTTATATCATAATTGCTCAATAACTCAGGCTTCTTTCTACTCAATGCCTTTTGTGCCCAGCACCTCTGGCCCCTTGTGCTTCTGACCTGGCTTTTTCATTTAACTGGTTTGTATTCACTTTCCTGTACATCATACAAAGCAAAAACCATAAAAGTGATATTGAACCCAGGTTTAGGGTTCCAAGGGATAAAAGGATGATTATGTTTTCATGTACTTTTCTATGTTAAAAATCAATGCTTAAGATAATAAATAGGCAACAAAACTTTAGTGAGATGGAAACGATGTGATGAAAACTACCAGATTCATTGCCCGATCTTTATTAGTTGGCAGCCTGGTTTCATTTTTAGGATCAAGGAATTAAATGGATCAAGGAGGGGCTTTGATTTCCAGCATTTAGAGCTCCCAGCTTTGGGGAGAGAAAGAGATCACGGAAATCCAGGAGCCGAAATATGCTTCTTATCATAATAGGCGTAGAGGGGTGTGGGTGGACAAAGAAATTGTGACTTAGAATTTTTATACGCAGGGAACCCACCCAGCCTGCTATTTTGCCCTGCCAGGTTCCCAAAGTAACGGAATCCAAGTCTCCAGGCCAGATTTTCCCTCTAGCCATTCCCGGCCACGCAGAGCGGAGCTGGGAGCCCACAGAAAGGGATGTCTTCATCGCCAACCAGGGATGGAACAAACCCGCCCGCTCAGGGAGCGCTGAGAACCGAGGGGTCCCTCCACCGCTCTCAGCAGCCAACATGACTTGACTGCCCCCCATCCCGCGCGGTGCCCACTCTCCCGGCGCCCCCACCCTTTCCGGGTGCGCGCGCAGGAGCCGGCGAGCCGGGGAGCTGTGCGCCCGGCAGCCTGCGGGCGGCGGCCCGCGGGCTCTGGCGGAGGGAGGGGGGTGTCCAGTGGCGGCGGCGGCGGCGGAGTAGCTGTTACCGCAGGGGGTCCCCTCGGCCGCGCCCCGCTGCCACCTGCGCGTCTCCCTGGACCCTCCAGCGCCGGGCCGTGGGGCCTGTCAGTGCCGCAGCGGCGGTGTCCCCGGGTCCGCCAATTAGGAGCCCGGGCGTTTGGCTCCCGGGGGCGCGGGGCGAGCGGCGCTGCCCGTTCCGGCGTGCGGAGGTGGCGCCGCGCGAGTCCCTCCCGCCGCGCCCCCCGCGACGTTTTCGCAGGGGGGGGGGAGATAGAGAACTGCTGTGACTTTTGAGGTCCGACTCCTCCTTCCGGCCATCCTCCTGACGCGCCAACCCGAGAGAGGCCAGCGTGACCGGCAGGCCCCGAAGGCTCCAGGCGTGGTGCTGGGACTTGGAACGGGTCCCGGAGCCCGCGGCTCCGTGCGCGCTGGTTCGTTTGGCGTGGGTTGGGGTGTCCCCAGGCGCAAGGGGGCGGGAAGGACTTCGCACTCTGCTCCGTTACCCACCCCTCCCACCCCCTAGTACTGTTCCCACTTTGAGAGTCATTGAGACTTGAGCCTGACTGCGGAGCCCCCCAGGAGGATGCGGGCGCCGGGCGCGCGGGCTTGCCTTCCCCCCGCCCGGCGTGATGAAGCGGGTTTGTGAGCGGAACAAAGGCACCCGCCCCGGGGGGGAGCGGGTCCGGGGCTGAAGACCGCGGGGCGCGGGCGCTACAGCCGGCTGCCTGCGGACTCGGGTGGTGGCGGTGCCGCCCGAGGAGGGGAGGCGCGCTTCTCCGGGGGCGGACCACGAACCCAGAGCCCGGCACCTGCGCGCCGTCCCCGCCCCGGCGCCGGGCAGCCCCGCCTGCTGGCCCGCTAGCCACGGAGGTCTCCTGCTGCCGCCGCCCCAGTCCCGGAGGCCCGAGTGCCAGCGACGGACCACTTGCTGGTGCGGAGGAGAGGCCCCCGATCTCCGGCCCTTCGCCGAGAAGCCCGGGCGCCTGGAAGGGGCCGCGCGCCGTGGAGTGTACGCAGGCGGATCCGGGAGCACTTCTGCACCCTCAAGGCTTCCAAGTGAGCGATTTGGCCCTCCCCCTGAGCGCCCTGCTCTCTCCACCGTCTCGGCCGCTGGAGCATCCGCTCTGTGGGGCCGGCGGGAGCGGCTGGGATTCTCGCTGTCCACCCGGAGTGTGTGGAGTGTGAGGCTCTCACGGTCCCGGTTGCCCCGCGCCTGCCTCGCCGGAGCCAGAGCCAGAAAGGGCACACGGGTCCGGGGCGAGGGCCGGTCGGGGGTGTTTGATGGCTTCACTGAGAAGAGTCAAAGTGCTGCTGGTGTTGAACTTGATAGCGGTGGCCGGCTTCGTGCTCTTCCTGGCCAAGTGCCGGCCCATCGCGGTGCGCAGCGGAGATGCCTTCCACGAGATTCGGCCGCGCGCTGAGGCGGCCAACCTGAGCGCGCACGGCGCCAGCCCCATCCAGGACGCGGTCCTGAAGCGCCTCTCGCTGCTGGAGGACATCGTCTACCGGCAGCTGAATGGTAAGGACGCGCGCCAGCGCCCACGGGGCTTCGGTAAACCCCGTGGGGGCCTTGGCTTGCGCGCGGTTTGGGGGAGCCCCACACCTCCCGGCTCCCGCGCGCTCCCTCTTCTTACCCTTTCTGCCCTGCCTTGGCCAAGAGGCCAGGGCTGCTGGAATGAATTCCCCATAAGTTTGCTTTTATTGTGGAAACGTGTCCCTACCGCTGGTTCCCGCGTTCAGGGACGTGCAGGAATCATTACCTGGCGACTGAATCCCAAGTGCAGAAACCAGTCCCGTGGCCAAGTGACTTAGAGGAAGAAAATAGTCTTACAGTTTAGCGTTTGGTGGAGTCTGACTGGGAGGGACTTTGGTGGGCTTTAATGTTTACAAAGTCAAGGCCTCAGGTCTGGAGCTAGTGTGCTTGGGTCGTAAGTTGGAGGAGGCGGGCTGCACAGCTAATAATGATACTCCTCCTCCATTTCGCAGCCCAGGGGGAGGCTGCTATTAAAGACACACCTGGCTTCGCCCAGAGAAATGCCCGGGGGCGATGTTAAAGTTCTTGGTGTTCCTGGAAACAGGTTTTTATAGTGTAAAGCGAGGTGCGCCATCCAATTACAGCAGGTCCCCCAATAACTTGAATTCGTTCAACCTCATTTCCTAAAACGTTGATGAGATGCTGAGGAAACTTAGCTCTTGCTCATATCAATTAGCTTGTGATAAAATTGGTTTCGTTATGCCAGTCTTCTTAAAGTCATAGGATCTATCCATGACGTGAAGTGATGACTTCCTGAATCTGTCCCATCTAAAATGTTCTCTTCAGTGCTTTAGGAGACGAGAGATATTTAAAGTGCTCTGGTTACATCTGGTCCAGGGACTGACAAGTCATTGTACACTAGTCAGGTTGAGAATTCCCTACTCAGGTAAGGCTTGCATACTCCAGGGCTTGCATAGCCGCTATCTGAGGCAGATCTAAGGCTGCCACCTCCCTTCCTGAGTTTCTAACACAAGTTCTCATGTTAGTTCCAGAATTAGAGATAATCACAAAGATAATGATTACAATAATTGGTAGAATTCTTGCTGTGTTCCAGATGCTGTGCAGAGATGTCATAAGTGCATTGAATGCCGTCCCCACAATCAGCTATTGAGAAAAGAAGGCTTGGAGAGTTTGACTAAGTTGCCTGGTGTCCTGTAGCTAGTCAGGGGTAAGGTCTGGAATCAGAGCCCATTGTCTGGTTGACCACAGAGCCTATGTTCTTGACAACTTCTATTTACCGTCTCTTCCTAATTATAAGCAGTTTTAAGTTTGATGACAAGAGGATTCTACGTTAGGAAGAACTGACTCCATTGTCTTCCCTGCAATTAGAGTGAGAGACCAGGCTGGCGGCAGGGAGAAGAATGACACCAGACTGTTTTCCAGTAATCCTTTCTGGGTCCTTCTGGGTGGGATGTGGGCAGATCTCTGAAAGAATGGTATTCTCTGTATCATTCAACAAGTACCCAGGGTCCTTGAACTTACCTCTGCTGTGGGAAGCTGCAGCCCTCCCAGTCCCTCACAGACATTGTGGCCTGACTCTCCATATAGCCTGCTGAGCGGTCGTGAGGAAACTCATCTCCTGAGTGTCACAAAATTACTACCCACAGCTCATTTCTGGAGGAATTAGAAGCTTATGGGGAGGGCCTTATTATTCTACCCAGATACCTGCTATAGAGGTACCCATAGAACCCAAAAGAGAGAGTGCAACATAGCCTGAGCTCCCTCACTGTCCAGCTGCATTCAAGACACAAGCTGTTTCAGTATTGGTTTTAATTAGGAAACTAAATACGATATAGTCATGCACCCATAAATATCCCAAAAGGAAGAATACAATTCCAAAAGGTATTTCCTAAATGACACCCAGGGCTCATTTAGTCTTTACCGCAACTCTAGGAGATAGGTGCTCTCTCTTCACTCCAGTTAGCTTGCTTACAGTCAGCCACCCAATCGAGCTTATAGAGCTGGGACTTGAACTCAGATACTCTGATTCCGGAATTGAGGTTCTTAGCTGTTGCACCAGTGAGTCTCAGTCTTTCCCTCTAGATGCTTTCTTGTATCTGTTCTTCCCTTCTTTCCGTGAGGCCCCACAGAGAGGGCCTGTGAAGACACATTTCGGGCCCCACCCTCAGAGTCTCTGATTCCGTAGATCTGGGGTGAGGGCCTGAGATTTTACATCTCTGACAAGCTTGTGGCCTGGCCCATGGTCCCCTGCCCTCTACTCTGCTGCCTGCATCAAGCAAAGCAAAGAGGAAAAACCATTTGTGTGCCAACACTGGGGTGGGGGTGGGGACTTCTGAGAAGCAAGAGCTTGCTTCAGATGGGCTGAGGGTCTGGCTTCTGCCATGCAAGTGACTCCGTGGGGGAGAGTAGGGGTACCCTGTGCTTGGGACTGGCTGGGTCAGGTGCCAGGAGTGGGAAGGCTGAGTTTTCTTGCCTTGCAGTCTCCGAGGAAGAGCTGGCAGGAAAGCAGGGTTGAGATCTTTTCCCGGGCAAGCCAGGAATTCAAGCTGCAACTAGGTAGATGTTATCCTCCCGCTGCAGAGTTTAATTTGTAGTGACATGAAGCCTGGAGGAGGAGAGCAGGGGAAAGTTGTGATATGGAAGGAACCCACCCCTCTCCACCCCACCCTCCAGCACTCTCTCCTCTGCCTGTGCTTGCTTTGGGTGCTGGTGTCCTGCCTGCTGAGGTGCTAGGCCTGCAGGGGCCACCTGCTGCAGTGGGAGGCTGGTGAAGGGAGGAGAGGTTTCCCGGTGCCTGAGTGATGGGGCCTGTATTGCTGTGTCCATTTGCTTTGTAGCCTGTTCCATCTGTTCCTACTGAAGGAGAAGAGGGAAACCTTGACTTTGGCATTCTTTGTTCCTCAGGATTATGGGGGGCCTGGGAGAGCCAGGCACTGGGCATATAGTAGAAACAAGGCCACTTGGGTCCAGCCCCTCGGGTACAAAGTGGGAGCTAGTATATATATATTTAATTTCTTTATTGATTTCAGAGAAAAAGAAAGAGGGAGAGAGAGATAGAAGCATCAATGATGAGAGGGAATCATTGATCGGCTGCCTCCTGCATGCCCCACACTGGGAATTGAGCCCGCAACTCGGGCATGTGCCCTTGACTGGAATCGAACCCAGGATCCCTCAATCTGCAGGCCGATGCTCTATCCACCGAGCCAAACTGGCTAGGGCAGGAGCCGGTATTTTAAAATTTTCCATATTTCTTAAACCTTTCCTGTGAACTCTTACGAAGTCCCAACAGCAGGGACTCCTGGAGGGCTCCAGGCAGTCCCGGTGCTCTCTCAAGAACAGGTTTCCTTGGGGGTTCTGACGGGGCCCCCTGGGCTGGGGCACCTGGATGACTCAGATATCCTCAGGATTTATCTCTCTGCCAAGACTCTTGGTACCAAGGTTTCGAATCCTGCCTTTTGGAAAAACAGTTACAGGTTGTAATTGTTAATGTTTTCGTTTGTCTTAATCCAGGCTGAAAAGGACATTTTAAAGTGACAGTGGAGATGTTGGTATTGGAGGAAAGAGCACACAGAGATGAATTAGTGTTTTCTCTCTAGATGCTTTCTTGTATCTGCTCTTCCATTCTTTCAATGAGGCCCCATTGTTGACCCTGACCTTTATGGCAGTACCCTCTAACCCAGAGCCCTGCCTCTGGTCTCTCACCCCTCTCTTTCCTGAGCATGCGTAGTTCCAGCTATCCGAGTGGAAAGCACCACCTCCTAAAGGTCCCACACCTTCCAGGGGTTCTCTGTTTCCTGAGGGGTCATGGTCAGGCCTGGAGGCTGACAGCCAGGACCTGCCACAGCCTGCTCCAGTCCCCATCTCCCACGTTCCCACCCTTGCTTCAGTGTCCTCTGCCTCTTTGAGCCAGACTGATCCACTTGCTGCAATACCTCTCATTTGCCTTCAGATTATAGCCTCCACATTTCAGCCCCAGTCTTTGAGAAGGGCTAGGTATCCTGGTTGTCTCTCCCTGCCCCTTTCTACATTCCTTCTTTAAAGCTTGGCTCAAGGTCATGAGCCGTGGGTGGGGAACTTGTGCCAGGACACAAGGTCTGAGCTCTTCCTGCTCCAAGTTGGCTGAGGCTCAGCTATCAGTGACCTTTGTACCATAGTTTGGATTTTTTGATACCACCTCTATCCCACATAAACTCATGTGGGATCCTCATTGCTTTCTCTCTTTACCTGTATGTGGTGGCCTTAGAGTCCACCTCTTGGTGGCATACAAAATGATCCTTAGTCCCTGAATGACTGCACTGGCTCTGTCTTGATGTCTCTGTGCATTGGGCCATCATGCTAACCCATTGAGATTTTGGAGCTTATCTATTACAGCAGCTAGTGCTAATTACCCTGCTTTGATTAGGTACTGTTAGAACACTTGATTCCCTAAGTGACAGGCCACACTATCTACTGTAGGTGCCTGTCCTTAATTTATAGGATCAGCAAATGCCATTGCACCTTGACCATAATGTCAAGGTTTATTGGTTGATTGATTGGATGTGAGCTAGTTTTAGGAGATAATTGATAGCCACAAAGGAAATAACCTCAATGCTACAAAGGCTGAGTTGGGTTGGGTAGATATGGTGAGGGGAAGGGGGTGGGAAGACTTAGATGGAAAAACTGAGTGTGAGGAGCCATCTTGCCTGTATCATCTTGCTTGCCTATACCATCTTGTCTGCCTGTACCATCTTGAGGCTGCTCTGGTCCTTAACTTTCTTGTCTGAAGGGCACCCAGTCCTTCTGAGGAGCTTGGAAGTGATGGAGTCAGCCAGGTTAGGGAGCAGCATGTTTTAGTATGTTTTCTTTGAATATGTAATTTTATAACATGAATATTGTTTTATGTTCCCTTTTCTGTAGAGTAAAATTCCTATTGTAAAAAATTTGGAAAACCAGAATAAATTCATACAGAATGTGTGAAACTGTTTTTTAAATGGCAACATGGTGGTTTTGTAGCTGCCTTAGGAAAATGGACCCAGGGACAGGCA